ATACACTGCTGATGGGACTCCAAAGTGGTACAACCTCTATGGAAAAGAGTATGGAGATACCTCGAAGAACTAAAAGTAGAACTACCATTTGATCCAGCAATCCCACTACTGGGTATTTACCCAAAGGAAAAAAAGTCATTTTATCAAAAAGACACTTGCACTTGAATGTTTATAGCAGCACAATTTACAATCGCAAAGATGTGGAATCAACCCAAGTGCCCATCAATACATGAGTGGATTAATAAAATGTGGTATATGTATACCATGGAGTACTACTCAGTCATAAAAAAAATGGTAAACTAATACCTTTTGTAACCACCTGGATGGAACTGGAGACCATTCTTCTAAGTGAAGTATTGTAAGAATGGAAAAACAAACACCATACGTATTTACTATTAAATTGGAACTAATCGATCAACACGCAAATGCACATATGGAAGTAAAATTCAATGGAAATCAAGCAGGTGGGGGGGGGAAGGAAGGGGTGGGTAAATTCACACCTAACAGGTACAACGCACACTATCTCGGTGATAGGCACACTTATAATTTTGACTCAAACTGTACAAAAGCAATTCACATACCAAAATGTTTGTACCCTTGTAATATTCTGGAATAAAAAAAACAACAAAAAAAACCAGGGCTTGACATGATAATTTTCCATGCCCCTTGCACACAATAAATGAGATACAGGCATTTTTTAAATGATTGTTGAAGAAAAATGGCTCTAATATTGTGAATTTAAAAGTAACTGAAATGGCCATATTATTAAATAGTTGATTAGATAATGAAAGAACCAATACTTTACAACATAGTTTTAAGGATCAAAATAATTCAAGATATGCAAAAGTACAGGGGCCTTGAAAATCTTAAAAAAGAAAAGTAGTTTTATGCAAATGTGTATCCAGTGTTTAAGACGACTAAGAGATGAGAGGGAAGAAAAATGGCACAGAGAACTTCTGTAAGCCTATTACCCTTGAACATAAAATAGGTCAATAACTGGGACCTACCACATGGGCTGCTGTGAGGATTAAATCAGATGATACCAGTAGAGTGATTAGAATACTATAGTAATGAAACATACATTTATCTACTTTGTCTTTATCATGAGACATATCCCCAATTATCTAATACTGTAAATGAAAGTCAAGGAACATGAATGGTAAACTAAATCCAGTGTTGATACAAATTTTCTCAGGCACAAAGTGCTCTAAATTCTTGCCGGTGTGAAAATACAGGCAGGTTAGTTTTATTGTCTCATTGCCATTTTTTTATGACAACAAAAATGGACATCAATAAATAGTGACAGACCCAGAAAGGCATGAAGAAGGAACATGTGAAAGCTTGGATAAGCTACAAAGCATATATTCATTTTCCAAAATTAATTTCTTCAGGAGTTGAAATGCCTGCTTCAGCTCCCATATGTCCTTGTCAAGTCAAATGAAAAACAAATTATTAGATTTTTGTGCAATGTTTTCTTTTACATTTTATAGATAAAATTTTAATTTGTTCTCCTGTTCGTTTTAGCTTTTCATAGTGGTAAAATGAAATAAAGCCCCAAAGATTTGAAAGGCAAAAATGCCACAATACAGCAAACAAATTGTGGTTTCTTTTTCCAAGCATAATTATGTAAGTCATTTAATAAAGAATAGAAAAGATATCAAAGGAATCATTTAAATAAAACGTAAAGGGAGATTGAAAGCTCCTTTTAGTGAGTCCAGTTTCCTGGTATCGCACTATGAATCTCTTTAAATATAAAGATATATAAAGCTGGAAATTTTAAAATATGACGACACAGATGGAAACTAAAAATGCTTTGCAATGACTCATATGCGTAATCCACTGCACTTATAAGCATTTCCCTTTTAAAATCTGTATTTGTAAAGGCACCAAAATAATCAGTTTCTCAAAATAATCCCAAGGCATTAATGAGATCTCCTACCGAAAAATTACTCCCCAGACTAGAAGCCTAAATATGCGCGTCATCTGTTTTATGTCAGCACCATCCCGGCTCTGAGTGCTGTGTGTGAAGATGGAAAAGGCAGAGGCCAAGTGCTGGTGCCCTTTAGTTCAGATATGGAGCTGCTCATATAGAACAGCTCGCTTTAAACTTCTAGATTCTACTGCCTAGAAAATCTCCTATCTAATAATAAAACCCCTGTTAAATGGGATAACATATTTAAGGCACTTATTTCCAAAGTAAAATTGAAGAGACTGATTCTGATTGCCAACTTTTAATCTTGCCTAGGGAAGGCATTAAAGAAAACAACTATCATTTATTATCATTAATAATTTATGAAGGAAGGAATATTTTAATACCCCCAAGAATAGGCAGGCCATAATTTCAGAGTAATGGCCAGTTTTGTGAATTAAATAAATTTAACTTTAAGTTCAACTCATTATAGTGTCCTCATCTTTCCTTGCATGGATGGGACCATAAAGCATTCATCACAGATTAGAATCATCTGCAGTTCAACATTTTACAATCACTAACGGAGGGCACAAAATGTGCCAGAAAGCCCATAAAATGTCTGTAATTGGGGTATCAATTTTTAATTTAATATAGATAAAACAAGGGAAACAGCAATAAATCCTTTATATAAAATAATGTTTTAATCTATATTTAGAATGTTACATATATGACTGTATTATCCAATGTCTGTCTTTACTCTTCTGGATAAGCAAAGTAATAAAAATGAGTAATAAAGTTGAACCTAATTCATCATTCTTCTATTCTTTTGTTAGAATAAATGTCCAGAATATTACTGGAAAACAGCACCCAAAATAGTTAAGTTTATGTATCAGTAGTCTTTTGAAGCAGTGGTCCCCAACCTTTTTGGCACCAGGGACCGGTTTCATGGAAGAAAATTTTTCCATGGATTGGGGGTGGCGGGGCAGTGGTTTTGGGATGATTCAAGTGCATTAATTACATTTATTGTGCAGTCAAACCTTCCTGCTGGGCCTTTTTGTTACGACAAGGGGCCCATTCATCCTCTGTGGCAAATGTGTCTTGCTCTTGCCCTGTAAACCTATCTTGTCCTTCCTCAACAAACTTCGTTTCATGCTTGCCTTGCAAAAAAAACCCAAGAAAATGAACAAAAGACACCTCTCTGCTAATGATAATCTGTATTTGCAGCCACTTCCCAGCACTAGCATCACCGCCTCAGCTCTAACTGAGATCATCAGGCATTAGATTCTCATAAGGAGCATGCAACCTACATCCATCCCTTGCATGCGCAGTTTACAGTAGGGTTCAAGCTCCTATGAGAATCTAATGCTGCTGCTGATCTGACAGGAGGCAGAGCTTATGCAGTGATGCGAGTGATGGGCAGTGGCTGTAAATACAGATGAAGCTTTGATCGCTGGCCCACCAATCACCTGCTGTGGGTCCCGGTTCCTAACAGGCCACAGACCAGTACCAGTCCAGGGCCCAGTGGTTGGGAACCATAGTTCTGAAGCATACAGAGTGCTTCAAATTTTCATGTTAAGGCCGGGCGCGGTGGCTCACGCCTGTAATCCTAGCTCTCTGGGAGGCCGAGGCGGGCGGATTGTTTGAGCTCAGGAGTTCGAAACCAGCCTGAGC